CTCATAGCAACCTCCAACTCCTGGGCTTAGGCGATTCTCTTGCCTCAGCCTCCTGAGTAGCTGGGACTACAGGCGCCCACCACAACGCCCAGCTATTTTTTTGTTGCAGTTTGGCCAGGGCTGGGTTCGAACCTGCCACCCTCTGTACATGGGGCCAGCGCCCTACTGACTGAGCCTCAGGCGCCGCCCCCAATAAATACTTTTTGAATAACTATAATATCACTTCTTTTAAGTCCTATTTGTGTGATTATGTTACTGTTCTACTAGCTTTTCAATGTTAAGGAGACAGATCATCAATTAAAAAGACCTCAAGCAAATCAACAAGAGAAGAATGAACAACCCCTTTAAAAACTGGGCAAGATGGCTCAGCATCTGTTGCTCAGCAGCTAGGATGCCACCCCCATACACCAGAGCTGGCAGGTTTGAAGCCAGCCTGGACCTGCCAAACAACAATGACAACTACAACCAAAAAATACCCAGGCATTGTGGCAGGCGCCTGTAGTCCCAGCTACTTGGGAGGCAGAGGCAAGAGAATCACTTAAGCCCATGAGTTTGTGGTTGCTGTGAGCTGTGATGCCATGGCATTCTACCGAGGGTGACATAGTGAGACTCTGTCTCAAAAAACAAACGAACAAAAACGGGCAAGAGACACAAACAGAAACTTTTCTCACGGAGACAGAAGAATGGCAAACACACACATGAAAAATGCTCATCTTCCCTAATTATCAGAGAAATGCAAATCAAAACCACTTTGAGATATCACCTAACCCCAGTGAGAATGACCCATATTGCAAGGTCTCAAAGCAACAGATGCTGGTGTGGATGCAGAGAAAAGGGAATATTCATGCACTGTTGGTAGGACTGCAAACTAGTTCAGCCTCTATGGAAAGAAGCATGGAGATTCCTCAAAGAACTAAAAGTAGATCTATCATTTGACTCTGTAATCCCATTACTAGGTATCTATCCAAAAGAAAAAAAGATATTTTACCATAAGGACATCTGCACTTGAATATTTATAGCAGCTCAGTTCACAATTACAAGATGTGGAAACAACCCAAGTGTCCTTCATTATACTTCATTGTATCCACTTGAATGGAGTGATAAACTATGATAAACACAGAACACTATTTGGCCATAAAAAAGATGGAGGTTTTACATCTTTTATAGCCACTTGGATGGACTTGGAGAACATCCTCCTAAGCAAAGTATCACAGAAATGGAAAGACAACCATCACGTGTACTCTGTACTAAATTAAAACTAGTAGATTAACAACCACAGGCTTGGTTGGGTGCGGTGGCTCACACCTGTAATCGTAGCACTCTGAGTCCAGGTAGGTTGATCACCTGAACTCAGTTTAAGACCAGCCTGGGAAAAAAGTGAGACCTTGCCTTTACCTAAAATAGCTGGCTGAGTATTGTGGCGGGCTCCTGTAGTCCCACCTAGTTGAGAGGCTGAGGCAAGAGGATCTCTTGAGCCCAAGAGTTTGAGGTTGCTGTGAGCTATTATACCAAGGCACACTACCCAAGGCACAGAATGAGATACTGTCTCAAAAAACCATACCAAACCAAACCAAAATCAACTACAGGATCATACAAGAGAAAAACCTAGTTGGATTCAAATGGTGGTGGAGTGGAAAGGGTGTTGGTGGGCTGCCACCCAACACGTACAATGCATGGGTATATGGCATGTTTCCTGGGTGAAGGACACAGCTACAACTCAGACTTTAACCTTACAAATCCAAACTATGTAACCTAATTGTTATGTACCTTCATATTAACCTGAAATTTTTAAAAAGGTAATATAACAAATTGTACCTGTTGCAGATAGTATCGGGAACATGTATCTTCAGGTTTTCTGTGACATCTCTCATCACCCTCTGGTAACCAGAGATTTCTGGGGCTTTGATATAATAAGGATTGTTTCTCATTAAATATTCCCCCAAATGATTAATTGGATCAAACTTGGTTGAACCATCAGCTTCTGTCAAAAGCTTCTTCTTTTCCACTTGCATTAACACTTTTTCCACTCCAGGAATTAAGGTGGGTAGGAGTTTGTCAAGCAAATATGCGCGAGTATCCAGTGTCATGTTTTCAGTATTAAACCACTGTTCAGCCAAATTATCCTTAGGAATTTTTTTTTCAGCCTTTTTTTCTAGTTCTTTCTTCAGATTATCCTTTTCTATTATTTTCTGCTGCATTGCTTGAGCTCTTGCCTCCACTCTTTCAAAAATATTTTTCTTCCATGGTGGTTCTAGCTTTGATTTCAGTTCAGATTCATCTAAATGAAATACAACTTTTGCAGGTTTTCTAATCACAACATTCTGTGAAAATTTCAAGTCCTTTGTTGAGCCAATTGAGAATCTTGGCTGCCTCTCCAGGTTTTCTGAGAGGGGAAAAGTGAAATGTAGGAAATATTAGAATAAGATTTTAATCTACATGACTACAGAATAATATTAGGAAAAAAGTCTTTTTACATCCATCTACACAGTGTATTGTAACACTATCAGATGAAAGTAATAGAAAAATAGACAACAGTGACTTTAGCCATAAAATCGTTTATTGTTGACTCAATCAAAAGTCATTCAGTAATTCATTAAGTTCAGTAATTTCATTAAGTACCTAGCCTATTTCTATTGCTCTTCATTCATTTTTCTGTGCTACTACCTCACTATCACACAATGACCATTATGTGACAGTTCCACCCGTTACTTCCTCACAAGAAAAAAGGATTGGGACCAAAGTGGCTTTCTCCTCTTGAGGCTGTTTTATTATCAAAGAGGAAAAGATTCCAGATTCCCCACTCTAGGAGTTCCCTTTACATTTCATTGGTCCCAACTAGGATATGTGCCCATACCTAGACCAATAGCTGGCAAAGTGAAGTGGGAATACTATGAATAGTTTGTTTTTGAGACAGGTTCTCCCTTTGTCACCCTGGCTGTTGTGCATTGGTATAATCATAGCTCACTGCAACCTCAAACTCCTGGGCTCAAGCAATCTTCCTGCCTCAGCCTCCCAAGTACCTAGGACCATAGGCATGACAGATCACCATGTCTGGCTAATTTTTTCTATTTCTGTACAGACGGGATCTCACTATGTTGCTCAGAATGCATGAGTAGTTTTGGCCAATCATAATTTCTTTCTTTTTCGTTTCTTTTTAGAGACACGGTAATATAATGCCCACAGTAATATAATGCTCACTATAATGCCCAGGCTGGTCTCAAAATCCTGGCCTCAAAAGATTCTCTCTAAAGAGAACTATGAAATGCTAAGAAAAGAAATAGCTGAAGATGTTAACAAATAGCAAAACATACCATGCTCATGGCTGGGAAGAATCAACATTGTTAAAATGTCCATACTACCCAAAGCAATATACAATTTTAATGCAATCTCCATTAAAGCTCCACTGTCATACTTTAAAGATCTCAAAAAAATAATACTTCATTTCATATGGAATCAGAAAAAAACCTT